AGCATCTGGTAGATTCGAACCGTGTGCCTCTGGGATTGTAGTTGCAGCTCCTTGCCACTAGGCCACCAGAGCTCCCCCAATGGTGATTAATTTTATAAAACACAGTGAATGATTGCATAGTGGAATGTACTTGGTGGGTGGGAGGGGTGCAGGGGGATTGTGTACCAGGGAGGGAGTTTTTCTTTTACTTTTCAAAGAGGAGCGAACTGGGTGGGTGGGTGGGGGGGCTGGGTGGGGAGAGAAGTGCAGCAATGAATGAATGGAAATCCAAAATCTCTGTAAATGTTCACTAAGATTATTAAAATAAATTAAAAAAAACCACACAAAACAAAAACACAGTGAATGAGACTGTATGAAAGATAATGTGAATGAAGGATAGTATGAAATGTTTGCAAATTTTGTAGGCAAACCAATATAAAATAAAAATTTAGAAAAAACAGATGTGACATATTTAACATTAAAAGACTGAAAAATAAATTAACTATAGAACAGTAATTTGAAGAAATAGTATGAATAATAATAATAAGAAGAAATAACATGAAGAAAGCAAAAGACCACTAAAAGTATAGGAACGAGAAGGTGTCTCATTAGCCAAGTAGGCAGTGCGTCAGCCACATCAAATCATAGGAAAGAAAATCCAAGGCTAAAATTGATATGAGAAGAGTCTTTGAACTTTGTTCTTGAACACTGAATTGCTAAAAGCCAATGGATAAAATGATGACATTTAAAAGCTGAACAGGAGGTTTCAAAGGGCAATTCAAGAAGAAAAACTAAAAAATATAAGGAAATATTACCAAAAGTAAAGAACATGGTTGACATTTCTCAATTGAACAGAACTAAAAAAAAAGTTCAATCCTTGCACTGCAACAATGAAGGATTCTATAGTGAAAACAATGAGCAACTCAGGAGTATCAAAAGATTATGCAGCTTCACTGTACCATACAAGAACTGGGTTGGTGTTGTTATTTCAGGAAACAGCATATGATCAGTAACTAATGGTACTGAAAGAAGAAGAAATCTAAGCTGCACTGAAGCCTGGGCCAAAAACTATGCTTCACTATGTGCAGAAATACCAACAATTGAGATGTTTCAACAAAAGCAAGCAATGTGGAAAGCACTCATTTATCTACGCCAAGACATTTGGTAGAGAGCTACCTGACCAACTGATTGGAAGATATCCACATTTTTAGCCATTAAAGAAAGGTGAACTAAAAGAATGTGGCATTTATTAAACAAAACTGGTAAGATCACATGTAAGTAAAAATGTGCTGAAGATAACTCAAAAATAGTTAGTTACACAGTACATTAACAGAGACTTGTCAGAAATTCAAAGTGGATTTAGAAAAGGATGTGAAAGAAAACATTATTAATGCTGATTACCAGATGGATCATGGTGGGAAGGTGGAGGGAAAAGAAGGATCTAAATCCACAAAACGGTACTAAACTTGGACCATCAATGACGTAACACCAGTAGTACACAAGATCACCCAGATAACATCTTCAAAAGACCCACTCTATCAATGTTTTTCAAGAACAATTAAATGTATGTCAATTATTTTAACTATTTCCACAAAGCCAATGTTCTACACCCTACTTTGCTATGTGTAGTAGTTAGCATCTTAGAGGCTGCAACCCTTTAATAGTAAGTAAACAATCAGTCCAAAGAAATAATGGGCCACACAAATCACAGCCTCCACTAACCCTCAAAGCAAAAAAAGGGCAGGGTGCCTAGCTACCACTAGCAATCATTCTTATTTGGAACAGATTAGATGGTCCTGGGCAGAAAGGCAGAGGGGAAAAAAAAGTAGAGCAAAATTCTACATCATGAAAAGGACCAGACTTACTGTCTCATATACTTGTGGAATCATTGAGACTGTGTCCCTGAGACAGCCTTCAAACCTGGAACTGAACTCATCCTAAGGACCAACTTATGGTCAGAGAGGCTTATAAAGAGAATAATATCAGGGAAGAATCCACTCTTCAACTATGTAGTCAACAATACAAGACTAAAAAGGCAGGAATTACAACATACACACACACACACACACACCCCAACCCTCAAATGGAAAACAGGGAAGCAAGGAGGTGGTAGGAAGAGCACTGTTATATTGATGGGTTTGCAACCAATGTCATGAAATAAAATGAAATGTCTTTAAATTGCTGAAAAGAAAATTAATTTGCTCTCCAAAGTCTCATAAGAAATGAAAATAAAAGAATAAAAATAAAATAAAAACTGGTGAAATGAGGCATAGGTATGGTAATTTTTTTGTAAGCTTTTTAAGTAATTCTACTGTCCAGCCAAATAAAAATTCTATGAAGCCCGGCTGCTCAGTTTTTGCCACCTCCTAACCACAATGGTAGCTATATGCAAAGCAATCTCAATCAGCCTAGGAATATGGGGGCAGGAGAAGTAGATACCACAGTGGCACAGTGATTCTGCATTAAATGCTTCATTCTGTTGTGTAGAGGGTTACTATGAACTGGAACTAACAGGAGGCACTAAAAGCTTAAAGATAAAATTAAGGAGAGACCCTGATCTTACTTTTACATCCTTTTTAGAACAGGAAACTTAATATATGAATAAATATCCAAAATTGCATCAATAGGGCAGGCTCACATTTTTCATAGGCAGCTTAGCCTAAATCAAACTATATGGAAAAACTACAACTCCTCAATTTGACTTTTTTTACTTCTGTTTGGAAACACTGCATGGGTCAAAATTAGGAAAGGAGTGTCTCCATACCTTTTCAATGTATATGCAGAACAAATCATTTGGGAGGCTGGCTTTGAGGAGGAATGTGGCACCAAGATTGGAGGAAGACTCGTCAATAACCTACGATATGCAGATGACACAACTTTGCTTGCTGAAATTGAAGAAGACCTGAGCACTTGCTGCAAAAAGTCAAGGACTATAGTCTTCAATACGGATTGAAGCTCACCATCAAGAAGACAAAGATTCTAACCGCTGGGCCAATTGGCAGCACCATGATAGATAGAGAAGAGACTGAGGTTGTTAACAATTAAAGCTTGCTCTGCTCCACAATCAACCTCTCAGTCCCAGCAGTCAGTAAATGAAAAGATGAACTGCACTGAGAAAATCAGTATCAGGGACCTCTCCAGAGTTCTGAGAAGCAACAATGTCAGTCTAGAGACTAAGGGTGCCTGATCTAGGCAAGTAATTCACAATTACTTGCTATACATCAGAGAGCTGGACAATGACTAAGGATGACAGAAGAAGAATCAATGCCTTTGAGTTATGGTGCTGGAGAACAGTCTAGTACATACTGCCAAGAAAACAAACAGGTTTGTCTTGGAGAAGGCGAAATTAAGTTTCTCCTTGGAGGCTAGGATTTTGAAGCTCCATCTCACATACCTTGGAAAAAGACATCATGCTCGGAAGGATGGAGGGACAGCACAGGAGAAGACAACCTTAGATGAGATAGACTGGGCATGAGATGAGACAGGGCGGGTTTTAGAGCTGTAGTACATGGGGTCATTATGAGTCACAGGTGCTCAGCAGCACATAACAATAACATAGAGCAGAAAATAAGACATAGGGGTACAGGGACATGAGCAATTTTTCTGAAAGGGCCAAATGGTATGAGAATAGCACAACCACTCACTGTCCCAGTCCTATGGTGCCTCTAGACCCACACCAGAAGCAAAAGGTTTCATTTATTTGTTGTTGAATCACAGACTGCTCACAGTTTTAAATCCGAGAATAGGGTTTACTGGGGGAATTAAGGTGGAGAGTGGGGAATTCAGGTTTTAGCCCAGCAGTCCCAAGGCACAATTCCTCAATTAATCCAGGCTCCAGTTTCAGTTCAGAAACAAATTCAATTCTCTGGTTTCCTCATCATCGAGGAAGGTTTGCCTGAGACCAGTTGTTAAGTCAGCTTCTCCTTAATTATCTGCCAAGCCTAGCAAAAACCTTTAACTGTGGCCTTTATCTCAGGGCTCCTCTAGTTACACACACCTTGACACTCTCTCCACCACCATCACCAGAATCTCGTTCCAGTCTCTCTCAAGTCTTGCTGTCCAGGGAGCAATATTTCTCTTATTGTAGTTCCACAGCTGTTGATGGTTTGTAAGACCAAAGGTCTGCAGTTAAGGTAGTTGAAGACCAGAGCAGGCTACAGTAATGGCTAAAGAAAGTCAACTTCAGGCTAACATCACAACTTCTATTCATCTCCTAAAGTGCTATTCTTTCTATGGACCTATGAAACATTTCTCACAGTGAAGTACACAGATTAATTTCTTGAAAGCCCTGGTTTTGAAAAAACAAAAACAAAAACAAAAAACCCAAACCAAAGTAAAACAAAAAAACCCCACACCAAAATCGAAAATCTAATGCCTTCAGACCACTGTGCTTTGTGATGTAAGTGATTTACATTGCAACACAAACTTATCTTGTCACAGACCTAGAGCAGTGGTCAGTGTCGTCTAAAGCACAGTAAACAGCTCAGTTAATCACTGGTATTTTCTCCTCTTTTATTGTGATTTCTATGGAAGTTTACATAAAAGCTGGATTTTCATTCATTCATTGTTGCACATTTTTCTCCCCACCCCTCTTCCCCAGTTCATTTAAGAAAAAACAAAAAACTCACTTATTGTTGCATAATTTCTTCCCCCTCCATCCCTCCTGCAGTCCATTTTGCTATGCAACTCTTATTCTGGACTGTTGTCCAGAATAGAAATAATGTCTAATCATTTATTCCTTTTAAAAAGTTCTTTCCTTTATCTGTTTCAATGCAGTGTTTATTATTAATCCCCTCTTTTCTTAGTTTCCTCCCAAGTTTAATCACTTGTATTTGTATCCTAATACATGTTTCAAAAATAATTTTTTAAATTGTTTTCTAAATTTATATATTTATATTGATTTATTTACAAAATTCAAATACATTGTTTTTTCACACCAGATCTTTCCCTCTCCACCCATCAAACTACGTAACCCTATGATTAAAAGGGACAAGAGAAGAATCTACACATAAATAACTTACCTTACACTTTCTTTTAGCTTTTTATTTTCCCTGTAGTGAAGAAACCACTTCCATCTTCCATTTCCATTTAGTTTATCCAGGACTTTGACAATTTCTTTCAATTGAACTATATAATAATTTTGGCAAGAGAAGGTATGTTTTAGGGTTATCCTGGTCAATGTAAAGCCCAGTAATTACTACTTGTGAAAAATAAGACACTACAGATGATTATATACCATCACTGCCACTTGTATGTGGCTGGACAACATTCCAGTTACACAAGTGCACAGTGCATTCAAAAATACAAAAATCAAGGTTCTTCAATTTGGACCTAGCTACTCATACTATGTTAGGAAGCAGGAGAGGCATCCACTTCTGAAATAGCTTGCCTCCAGAAACTCTATGAATGTGGAGAAACGATGAAAGTTATACAAGTGTTCAGGTCTTTCCTTCATAGGATCACTATGAGTCGTCTACAACTCGACAGCACTTAACAACCACAACTCATACTATAGTAGAAGAGACATGTACAGAAATGAGAACATTACAATTACAAACAATTTAAAGTTCTGAATAAAGTTCATAAGCCATATGGATACAACACAAAAAGGAAGTGTCACTGTAGTACAAAAAAGGAAGCTCTAAGCTTCTAAATAATGAACTTTCAGATACACCTAAACTCCAATATCCATACAGAATTCTTATTTTGCCTTGTTATATTTTATCTTCCTTAACTCCGAATTCAAAAGTGGTATCCACATTTAGTTCTAAAATGACAACAAGCTAAGGTAGGTTTTGATTATACGCAACAGTATCTGTCCTGCACTATAATAATCTTCCAAAAATTACATAAGGCATTCAATCAGTGTTCAAAAAATAATAAAAACAACATTTTCCAGTTATTTTTAGATTCCCATTATATCAACAAGATAGGTAGGATGATGGTAGTAGAAATAAAGAAGGCTGGTTCTAAATAAAATATTTCATGTGCAGCTGAGCAGAGCTGGCAAGTATCAACGAAACAATGAAATTTCAAATTTGTACGAGTAAGAGTTCAAGGATACTAAGAGGTGTATTTTAAAAAATAGGTTTGCTAGCAAAGATAATGACTTAAAGATGGCTTTGGAGATGAGAATTACAGCAAATTATATAACATTACTATTACATAATAATTATATACTATATAATGCTGTTGTGTGCCATCAGGTCGGAAGTGCATCATAGCTGATCCCCAATGGATTTTCAGAGGCAGTAAATAGCACAGGAAGAGACTGCCCAACCTTCCCCTACAAAGCAGGAGGTGGATTTAAAGTACGTGCAATCGCCTCTTAAGGTGATTTACAGCCTTAGAATCCTAATGGGGCCGGTCAGCTATAATTTCATTCTGACTTGACAGCCGTGAGTAGTTGAGAGATACTATAAAAGCTTAGCATAGCATGTGACAAAAATTAAGTTCTCCACTAGTGCCAATTATTATTTAGAATTAATAACTTCTTTTTGGACATGGTATTTAGGTCACTGGGTAAAGAGAAATTGTGTCTTACTAAATTTCATAGAAAAGAAAAAAAGAGACCAACCTAGTGTTAATGTTTCTAGTATTTTGTCATCTGATACCACAAAGCCTCCTGCACGAAACAGCTCTTGGTAGGTGTGATCAAGAAAGTCTTCAGGACTATCTATTCCAGTAAAGAGGACATTGGGGAAATGCTTCAGCTTCAGCAAGGAAGGAATCTGTTGAACAAAAAATGGCACACTAAGAGAAGACAGGCTCATTCATTGGAATGTGTTTTGAGTTTTGTTTTTTAAAACCATTTTCCCTTTGTTACTTTTTTACCAAAGGGTTTCAAAGGTCTGGAAGAACAAGTGAAATTTCTTTCACCCCTTACTGCTGTAGCGCCATCTGCCAAACTAAATGACTATCATCTCAGTTCATCATTAATGTCTGCAAACTCAGTTCATTAAAAAGAGATTTGTAATGCTCTCAACTGTGGAAACAGAAATAACTGGGCAAGTAGAGTCCTTTCTGGTGAGCTCTGGTGGCCTAGTGGCAAGAAGGTGCACTGCAATCCCAGAGGTGAGCGGTTCAAATCCACCAGAAGCTTTGCTGGAGAAGGAGGAACAATCTCCTCCTGTACGAGTCAAGTCTGATTTGATGGTATACACACACACACACACACACACACACTAATAATAATAATAATAATAATAACATTTAAAGAGTCCTTTCTGAGATTTAACGTGAAGATGTTAAATCACATGTTTCCTTTTCCCATATGTAGTGTCTGAGTTACTATAGACAATAGCAGGATTACATACCTACCCTGTCCCTAAACTGGATCTCCATGGGAACAGAAAGAACTTTTCACTAGTAGGTAAAAATATCACAACAAATGCATAACCTGAATACAGGAGGCCCAGTAGCAACACAGAAAAGATAAATCTAACTTTATAGTTATAAAATATAAGAAAAAGAATTAGGCCACACATAAAAAAATAAGCTGAGGATTTAGTCTATTTTTCGGCTACAGAGATTGAAGAATACATGCTTTTTAGAAATCTAAAAAAAAAGTTCCTATCAATTAAGGGAAAACTATGAATGTTATTTTTAGGTGCCGTCAATAGCAACCTGATGAACATAGTAATAGATCTGAACCTTGTTGGGCCTGTTGGTAGAAGGGGCTATTCCTGCAAGAGGGACATGATGCTTGGAGAAGGGTGACATGTCTGCAAAAGAGAGAAAGATCCTCTACCGGATGGACTGACACGGTGACTGCTTTAATGGGCTCTAGTGTGTCAGGAAATGTGAAGATGGCACAGGAGAAGACAGGGCTCAGATCTGCTGAAACTATGAATAGATCTAAGATCTAAGACTTAATTTTCTCATCTAAGGTATAAATCTGTATACTCTCAAAGTCTATCCATAAGAAACATGTTTTTAAAAATGAGTATTAAAAGAACCTGAATCATAATAATTTTCCCTACAAACACCTTTATATTAAAACATACTACATGATTCTGATGCGATTATTTTCCCATTTGAAATTCAACAGTAATGTGTTTTAGTGTCTTTCCTAAACGGAGAAAAGTCATGAAGAATCTGAGAATAAAGCATAACATGAAATGCAAAGAACTTATATATTTGATAAGAAATAACTTTCCAAACTTACCTGATGCAAATGTGATGAAATATCCTCATTTCTGATGATGACTATCAGTGTATCATTCTCTCTGTGAAAAGCTTGACAAAAATGCTGAGGTTCAATTTCTGAATGACCTTCTTTCCTCAGAATATTCTGAAAGATTACAAATAATTTTAACTTAGAAATAAGATGCTCGCATGGAGGTGTTTTTATACTAAGAATTCTTGTTAAACAAAGCACAATTTTCCCTACTTAATTCTATGCTATTAAGGCAATTAAATCCATGGCAATTTGTCTTATTACTAAATGACTTGCATGTATTTTAAAGTCTCACTTTTTCCAAAGGAATTACCTTTGTGATGTCACCTATTTATGCTCAAAATGTCACCTCTAGTTAAAATATTTCTAGAACCTTTTTAAAAAAAAAATCCTCTGGTGGCCTAGTGGTAAGAAACAGCACTGCAATCTCAAAGGCGTGTGTTTCGAAAATCCATCAGCCACTCTGTAGAAGAAAGATGGGCAGTCTCTCCAACTATGAGTTGGTTCTAACTCAATGGCACATTAACAACTCATAAAGCATAGGAATTATTTTTTAATTTCATTAATGGGACTTATTTCATGTTCCCTTGAATCCAGGTATTTGAACAAAATAGGGAATATAGTTTACATGTGCTCCACAGAAACTGCATTGCTGTATTGCTGAGATACAGATTATTAACATATTAAAGATGTTTAGAACTACATAGTAAGTTTAATTACAGAAATTCCTTAACATTCCCTTCCTTTGCAATTTTTGACCTTGTATATAAGTTTCATTTTACATAAGTCTATTAAAAAAACCTAAGTGCTAAATCTTTTTTGTTCTTATTGTGTTCTGTTGAGTCAGAATCACTCATAGCTGACTGTCCAGTGGGTTTTCAGAGGCAGTATACTGTACAGGAAGAGAATGGTCATCCTTCTCCATGGAGCATCTGGTGGATTAAAACTACAAGTCTTTGAGAATGTAGCACAGCTTCTTACCACTAAGCAATCAGTATTCCCTTAAATTGTTGTTGTTATGTGCCATCAAGTTGCCTGCAACCCATAGTGACACCATGTACAGCAGCTCTGAAGCATGCCCTGTCCTGAGCCAGTCTCACTAATTCCAACACACCAAATCCCACTGCCACTGTTACTGTATCAATCCATCTCATAAAAGGTCTTCCTCTCTGTGCCATCCCACCTCCCTTCCGAGCATGATGTCCTTCTCCAAGGACCCGTCCCACTTGGCCATGTGCCCAAAGTATGTGAGACGGAGCTTCAAAATCTTATCTGTCCCATGCACACCCATGTTTATTGCAGCTTTGTTCATAATAGCAAGGAGTTGGAAACAACCTAAGTGCCCTTCAACAAACGAACGGATAGAGAAGCTGTGGTATATTCACACAATGGAACACTATGGTGCATTGAAAAACAAGGAACTCATGCAGTATTATTCAAAATGGGTGACCCTGGAGGACATGATGCTGAGTTAAATATCTCAGTCACAAAAGGACAAATACTGCATGGTGCCACTGTTGTAGAATGGGATTGATATCAGGGTTGGAGTATGACTAAGAAAAACTGGATAAATTATGTATACTGAATTGAAACAGATGAGGGAGAGAATAATTTAAAAGCGATATATGATAGGGTATTATAGTTATCACAAGAGTCCAGAATTAAGGATGCATAGTGGAGTGTACCTGGGGCGGTGGGAGGGGTGCAGAGAGATTGTATACCAAAGAAAGAATTTTTCTTTTACTTTTTCAAAGAGAGGAACAAACTGGAGGTTGGGGGGGAAGGGCTGGGCAGGGAGAAAAGTGCAACAATGAATCAATGAATGGAAATCCAAAATCTCTGTAAATGTTATTAAAATTATTAAAATTTTTTAAAAGTACTTGAAAGCAAAAAAAAAAAAATCTTACCTGGCCCTTATTTAACTAATGAACTACCTGAATAAATTTTCTGGTATGTTGAACATTTTCATAAAATCCTGTGATGTTCTGGCTTATACACTCAAGTGTCTCAATAGTAATATAGAACTTGATAAATTCTTCTCATCATTCAAATAAATAAGTAGAGGCACAGAGACTAATTTACTTGTACAGCACAAATTAGCATCAGGAATTTCTTTCTGATCTCTTACAAGTTTTCTTATCTCTTAAAAGTATTCTGATCTTTAGAGGACATTATTCTCCAGTTCTACTTTATAATGTGCCTACTTTTTCTCTTGAAGATTACTTTCATCTTTGCACAAAACTGTGATTTTCAACTGCAAGCCTATCTAACAGCCACCTTGAAAATACTCTCATCCAACAGTCAGAAAAGAAGAGAACATAAATTCTGTGAGGATAAAATGAGAAACCTAATGGTGAATCAAGGGAGACTCTGGTCCTGCTAAGCCAGAATTTCAGTAAGGGAACTCTGGTAGCCTAGCCCTACAGGTGCTGCACTCCTAACCCAAAAACGGACCTTCTCTGGTGATCCGAATACATCAGTGGTTCTGCGTGAGAAAGATAGGCAAATTCCTCCCCTGCAATTTCACTGAAAGGTCCAGCTAGGAGTCATTTCTGACTCAATGGCAACGTGCTTGAGTTCAGCACTTAAACTTAAGAAATATGCTGTTGTTGTTGTGTATCACAGAGGTGGAACCGACCCATAGCTGACCCTCCAACAGGTTTTCTGAGACAGTTAATCGCATAAGAGGAGACTGCCCATCCTTCTCTTGTGGAGCTGCTGGTGGCCGGGAACTGCACACCTTCAGGATTGCAGTGCAGCCTCTTGCCAGTAGTCATTTAAACATGAATCATCTTAATATTCAAGTATTTAAATTCAACTAAAGCCAAAAGGCATCCATCTCAACTATTCACACTAAGAGAGGAACAAAGGTAGTAACATATATATTAATTGTGTCTAAAATATGTGTAAAACATTCTAACTCTGAAATATGCTTATGGTTACATTAGATGTATGTCTACATGAATAACTTTTCATGAAAATTACTCATTGCAAGGAGAAATTTAATTTCTACCCCTGAATATAACACAAATCTTTATATAGACTAGATGGCAGATCCTTTACATAACATTTAACATAAAGATAAATTAATACCAAAAATGCATGTATTGTGAAATAAAAGTGCTACCTCATTCCTTTTCTTTTGAAGCCAAGAATGTGAAATTGATTAAACCAAAATCAACAGCTATGAACTGTAAGAAAAATGTGGCACTTTACCTTTGTTCTTTGAATGAATGTGCTGTCTTCTGTTTCAACAAGGTAGAAGAAGAAGGTACTCTTACAAGCCTCTCTCATAACATTTTTTAGTTTGACATGTAAACTGGTACACAGGTCTGTAATCATGTTCTCATAGAAGGCTGGCCTTCTTGGGAAGGATGGATATAACTCCTGTGACAAGGCCTCTGCAGAAGCAACATTTAGTTCTTTATCTTGGAAAACCATTTCATTATTAATCATCACCTTGCTTAATTCAGGAAACTCATTGAGAATAAGTGAAACATCATGTAGAGATTCTTTTGAAGTACTGTCATATTTCAATTTATTGAGATGGAATGATTGATTTCTTTCAAAATCTGAAAGATGCCTTCTGTGACTGCATCTCTCTTTCCAACAGAAAGAGCAACCATCCATACTGCTAGCCATGTGGTTGATTCTCATGTGTTGATTCCGCTTCTCACACTGATCTGAGTGTGTGACTGTTACTAAAAGGGGGCTTCTGCTCCTGGCTATAGGATATAGAACAGGTGATTCAGATATTTTTGTCAAAGGGAAAGTGTCAACAGCTATTTGAATAGGCGATTCCTGTGAAAAGGCACTGGTGGAAGAGGTAGAATGCTGAGGTTCCCCATTCTTTACAAGTTGTTTTAATTTATGTGCAAAGCGCAAATATTCCAGATCTAAAGTATTCTGGGTGAGGTCATCTGCTATTTGCCAAGTACTTGTCCAGGAACTGATCAAGCCACATTTTGCAGTGAGACTGGGGTGTCTTCTCAAGGCATGCAAAGTCCTTGTGGTATCTTTGAACTCTTTCGTTATAGTAAAGTTAGCATAAGTCCTAGGGATCCCATGGAGGTCTCGAATTTGGATATAACATGGCACACGCCTGTTCTCTTGCTTTGATCCACTGGACCAATTTCTGAAAGGAACACTTGTATCCAACCCTGGTACTCTGTTAGAGTATCTCCATTCCTCATCACCACTATTGTTTATGCTCATGAAAGAGCTGTAATTACCTTTAGTAGTACCATCTCTATTCCTGGTGTAATTACATCGCAGAGTGCAAGAATCTTCCACATCTAGCTTGGGATTTCTAAAATCACCAAAAGAATCTTGATCAGAGTCTCCAGAAAGTAGTTCATAATGCATGTCAGAATTTACACTGATATCCATGCCTCTATCTAGGGTTTCAGAAAGGTCCTCAGCCACCAGCCCTTCACTGGTGTTATTTCCCATATAGTCTTTAGAGATCCCACCAACAAGAGAGTCAAAAGATTTTGGAATAAAGAAAGCAGTCAGCTCTTTATTACTATTTTCACTGGTGTCTGCTGCATTTTGGTTAGAATCTGGGCATGTGAGGGAACGCACACCATCTGACAGATCTTTTGTTTCATACATTGGCCGATCTTGCAACACGTGGATTGTCTGTTCACCTTTTGAAGATGTGGTGTGAGACTGAAAATCATTATCTTCTGGATCTATGGATTCTTTATGTAATTCAGCTTTTTCACTTCTCTTAAGCAAATTTGCCATTTTAACTACAGGTATTTCATGTGTTTGATACCCTGTTTCTACATTTATTGGTTTTATGCAGTTGATTAATGTAGCACTTTCTGGGGAAGAACCAAGTTTTGAGATCTCTGAGTGAGTATATGCCTGTGCAGTAACAGCTCCATCAAGTGAGTCAGGGTTTGAAAACTTTACTGGCAGATAAATACTTTCATTTTTCTTCAGATCATTGTTAACTGTTATATTTTTCTCAATGCTTTCAGAGGTTGTTGGCTGTTCTATGCATATATTAATTACGCTACTTGAAGAAGTTGTATGAAGAAATGTGTCAGTCACATTTTCTGTATTTTCACTAGGAGTAAACATCGGTTTACTGGTCTCCAGGGTAAGATCTTCCAAATTTCTGTTCTCTAGACTAAGAGAAGGTGTGAAGTCCTGACTGTATTTGGCAGCTGCGGCAGGCTGGTTTAATTCCACATCACAGTACAGCGTATTTTCTGGGAAAGACAAAACTTCATAATGCTTACTTTGGGCAATTTCCTCAGTTACTTTACCAGGAAGGGTTAAACGTCCATCTTTTCCTGAGGTAGGACTATTTAATAATAAAGGCATTTCTGCATAATGTGGCATTTGTTTTACCCAAGTTAAATTATCTTGTCCCACTGGATGGGCAGTACCAACAGAAGGATTTTCTTTCTCTGTTAAGGCTACATTGAAGGATTCAATCTTGGAGGCTTTGATACTTTTCTCATACTGTGTTTCGTGATCTTTTAAACTACATGGAGAGATGGCTTGAGATGGCCGTGTTTCCTCATTTGTTACTAGGAGGTCAGGACTAGAAGCTGGTGATACTTCTTCAATTAAAGAATTAAAGGGGAAGTCTGAGGTAACATTAACGTGCCCTGAAATCTCAGGGGTAGAATTGTCTTTAGGAAGTATGAAAGTAAATGACTGATAATTACCATCTTTTCTTTCCATCTCATCTAATGGATCCTCTGAAACTAATATATTATCAGAATTCAGTTCTCCGTTTCCTGTGAGTGTTACCTCTCCTGAATCAATTCTTTCTTCAGCTACATCCTGATGTTCTACATTTGAAGATGGGGCCTCTTGAAATTGCTCATTTTCATCAGCTAGAATCTGTTCACTGGGACTTGAAAGTGGAGATATGGCTAGAGTTAGGTCAATGTCTGAATCTTCTGATAATTCTAGGCTGACCTCTTCTTTATTCAAAGATAAACTAGTTGGTCTAAATGCTGAATTAAATAATTCAAAATCTGTATTTTCACTGTTTAGACAATCCTTGTCATTTTTCATTAGTTCCATAGAACCATGTGATACATTATTTCTTGATGATATCAAGAAGGTAGAATCTGATAAGGCCAAGTCTTCAAATAATTTCGGCTCTATAATCTCTTCTGAAGAAATGCTTAAGAGACTCTGAGTTTGCAAAAAATAGTCTTGAGAGAGTCTCTTTTCTTCACTGGGTACCAAGCAGTTGGAACTTTTTTCTAAAGATACTGTCTCTGTTCTCAATGAATTACCAGATGATGACGACCACACTGGAAGTGGATTCTCTTTCTGTAATGAAGATACCTCATTAGCAAGTGTTTCTTTACTTACTGAGGTGGTACTAAGGCATTTACTGTCTTTTTCTCCTGACACTTCTGGAAATGGAATGTCCTTTAGAGTTTCTGTTTGTGTCTTTTTAAATGTGGGCACAGGAAGAGTTTTACTAGGTACTTCTTGTTTAAGCAACTCCACATTAAACACTGGAGACTTATCATCTCTATTTACATCTTCTGTTTGTACTGGTGGACAGTTATTCTCTTCAGAAATGAGAGGAACGGGTTCTAGATTAGTCATGACATATCCTGTATTATCATCTTTCCTTTCCAGTGAAGACTGACATTCTTTGTTAGTGGGGCTGTTATGCTGGATAATGTCCTGTACCGTTTCGGTTTTTTCATGCTCTGTTGCATGAAAAATATCAACTTCGCTTTGAAGAGTGCTGTGTGTGGGTTGCTGACAAGTCACTGATGGGCTATTGATCCCTTCACAAGTCTCGGTGAATGTGTCTTTTAAGACAGTACCATTATGAGAAGATATTCTTGTGCTATCAAGCGGCTGAAAAGTTTTATCTTCATTAGAAACAGGAGATGCATCAATTTGTGTATTATCACTACTAGAGAGCACACCATTGGATGTTTCTACTTTATCTGATGATTCTCGCTCAGCTTTTTTCTCAATGACCTGAAATAACAAGACAAAAAATCAGAAACAGGTTTTTTCTTTTACAATTGTGGAGAATAGGAAAAATAAGAATCAATTTTGCTTTGTATCTTTTTCTTCTAACCTGTAAGATCCATTATACAGGAGAAGTCAAATAAATCTTTCCATGACAGGTTTCAAACACACCTGGAAATAAAACTTTAGTCTTTAAAAATATTATGAAGAGGACAACCCTAAAACCTCCATGATCACACAGTCTATTTTTAAAACAAGACCTCTTGAAAGAAAAGTGGCTTTTATCACTGACATTTTTAAAGACTTTCCAATGCAACTTTTTGCATCACTTGGTTCAGAAATTTAGCTATACTGAATTTTTAATTGGCTTCAAGAAATAAAATTAAAATAATATTAAAGAATAGTTTCTTTTTAACACTAGCTTTTAGTTAGACTGTAAATTCATTATACTCCGGAGTTTTACCATGAGAAAATTATTTCTTATTTCTTCTGAAACCTGCTAGAGAGCTGGCTATCAGTCTTTTACTTACTAGGACATAGTAACAATATACAGTTACTAACTGCAATCTGTCAAATTAATCTATAATTTCTTACTCTAAGGTAGTACTTTAAACTGCATTTTATGTTTTTCTTTGAAAATTGTATGAAATGTAGATGTTATACACTTTGAAAAGCAAAAGCAAATATATAATGTTTATGTATATATACACACATACACATGGAATTTGAATTGATGAATGCATGAATTGATGTCTATGTACATAAGGAGCTCTGGTGAACTAGCCCATAAGTAGTTGTCCTGCTAACCCAAAGGTGCTATGTCTCTGGCAGTTTAAATCCACCAATGATACTGTAAAAGATGAGCAAGCTCTTCTCCCTTGTTATTTACACCCTCTAGAGTATCAGCTATGAGTTGGTTCTAACTTAATAGCAATGCTGTTGTTGTTGTAGTTATGTGCCATCGAGTCGTTTCCGACTCATAGCGACCCTATGCACAACAGCTCTAAACCCTGCTCTATCC